GGTAATTTGGGTTCTACCCAATCGTCTCCAGGCAAAAAGAAGTCTAAGTTCCTCGAGAGCCATTCTCACGCTCTGGTTAACCTCAGCTTATGTGCTACACACAAAATGCATAATGCACTGGATTGCTCTTGTTTCTTCCTCTTTTTGTTGTCCATCTAAATATGGCAAGATCTGGGAAATGCAATCAATGAGAAGAATATACAGGAAATAGGAGCCATAAACAAGAAAGATTGGTTGAGTCTCAGCGAGGTCTGGAGTACAGTTGCTGAAACCAATCACTGGTGACCCTGAAAGATCTGAAGCTAAACAGAATGCTTTCAAGATGGAAATGTGCAACAAAGATGGCAGAGATGAGCTGGTAATGGTCTCATCTTTCCTTTTGTAGGCTTTCCTCCACATGTAGCTTTAAAATAACAGCAGCATGTTGGACGTGCAAGAGGACATGCCTGAGAGTGAGGAAACCTTTATCTCCTGTGAGACCCACAATGTGACTTTGCCTTTCTAAACCTGGAGAACTGTATTTTAAGAGATTCCAATTGTTAGAGCTGAAGGCACATTATCAGAATGATTCAGTTTCCATTTCAGGACTCATAAATATATATCTTTAAAAGCTATTACTTGATGCAACGGGGATGTGCTATGCAGGAGACACTGTTCTTCCCAGCCTTAAAAATCTACGAGTCCGCAGCATCCAGATAATCAGCATCCAGAAGTTTCAGGTTTTATCAGTTAGCACAACATGAAAACAGCATTGTAATCAAGAAACAGAGGGTAGAACGAGGATGTAAGTTATAGATCTCAATGAGAGGTACGTGGTCTTGAATGTTTGAAAATCCAGATATTTTTCATAGAAGTTAGAATGAAAACAGAGAGGTCTGGATTCTGACTTTTGGTGTGATTCTAAACTTGGTTGAAAATTTTGGCTTTTGGTTATCTCATTGGGTTTTTTGTTTTTTTTTCTTTTAGACTTTTGAAGAAATTGACAGTGAATGCCAAAGTTTGCTTTACCTTATTATAGTTAGTTATTTAAACCATAAAGTCACCAAGTAAAACATCCATTATTTTCACCAGCAAGAGGCAGTGATCAAGCAGGTGCCTGCAGCTTGAGGTGGGTTGAAGCAGTGGTACATCAGTGACTGGGTGTTCCAGGTTTTGTGTGCCAGGCTCTTACGATCCCTTTGCAGTTCTGCCTCTTTTTGCTGTTTGATCTCTGGCAAGTTACATCCCTTTCCTGTCTCGATCTTCACAGCAGTGAAATGCAAAGTACATGCGTCAGAAATGGTGTAACCAGGCCAGCAGAGTTTAACATCAATAAAGTGGCTGGTGGGCAGAGCTCACCCCCAGGCAGCAGCTGTGGCTGCCAGGCAGAGGCAGTGAGGCATGCTGCAGAACTGGGCTGAGGACCTCACAAAGCTCAGCAGAGGGGAGTGCAAATTGTTCCTGCACCTGGGGAAGAATAACCTCAGGCACCAGCACATGCTGGGCTGACCGGCTGCAGAGCAGCTTTGCAGAAAGAACCTCGGGGTTCTGATGGGCACTGAGCTGACCAGGAGCCAGCAACACATCTCACAGGAAGGAAGAGCTCGAGTCTTAACGTTAATTTCAGTGGCAATAAGAGCACGTTCCAAGGTGTCAGGGTTGCAGAAAGCTCTTTATCTCGTAAGGCTTCTGGGCACCTTTTACTGGAATTAACAGTTAGGTTTTTTTCCCTTCAGATATTCTCCAGCCTTTGCAAAGGAAACTGCAGTAACAAATCAGATTCTGCAGCAACACTTTTTAAGTCCCGAAGCAAAATTCAGCAGTTTTATAGGGACAGTATAAGAGGGAATGGGGCGGGGGAAGTGGGGTGGGAAGTATTTATAATCCCTTTAATATTTTAAAATTTAATTATTTCCAAATTGGGTTAGCGAGACTGACAAGAATACTGCATCTAAAGCATGGAGCCCAGAGGCAGCATTGGAAAATGAGAGGAGAAATTAATAATAAAAAGAAACCTATTGCTTCAAGGCAGCAGACTGGAACACTGACATTCCATTACTCCGTCTGTCTGCTGAATTCATTTAGCATCTGTGGCCTAAATAGGCTAGTTTTAAAGTGGCATGTTCCAGATTTTATGTTTAGGGCTGCTGGAAGGGGGTGGGGATTGCCAGAGGATTTTTCTTCATCGAAAGCTGCCTCAGGAAAGCACATCAGATTTGTAGTTAATAGGGTAGAGTAATGCAAGCCTCTTAGCAGTTGTAGATAATACAGTATCTTGGAGTGTTCTGTAATGCCTTACAGGATAGGGGCTGCATCTAGCTTCTGGACAACCACAGTTAGCTTCTGGAGCTCAGTGCTGGAGCAGCAGTGTTGAGCCTTCTGCTGAGCACAGAACTGAAGCCCATCTGCAAGGCATGCCATCAGCCCATTAGCCATCACTGCAGTGCAGCCGCTCCTGACATCTCTGAACTCAAAGTATTAAAAGTCTGGATTTTCAAACTGTGAGCCAAAACACAGCATTGTCCAGCAGCATCACAGTCCTTAACAGGTTCTGTTTCAGCAGTGCCACCCACGACCTGCAACATGCAGTTTCTTCCTCAGGATGCTCCTTTTCAGCTGCTAACTCCAGTGACTCTTGTGTGCATTTTGTAAGATCTGAGATCTGAAGCCTGAGGCGGGCTGTCTGTAGCAGCACAGAGAACTTCCAGGCATGTACTGGAGGCAAGGTAGATGGCTTGACAGCAGCCTGGAAGGGAGGGAGAAGCATGATTCTCCATCATCTCCTAGAAACCTACAAGTGTTTCACTTCTGGGCATTTTCTGAAACATCTGGATACAAGGAGGATAAAAGGTACCAGTGTAACCTCCCAGTAAGATCAATTGCTCAAAGTTTTCTGTGTATTTCTAATCTTCTTTGGCTTCCTTCCCAAGATCATAGAAACAGATCTGTGAAGTTCCTTGGAGTAGAATACAACATATTCTGCATATTTCTACTTTATGCAATAATCTTAGATTGTCTTCTCCCTAATTTATCATCAAATTACACAGAAAGGAAAAACAGGAATTTTATGGAAAGTCATATACAAGCTGTTAAAATTGTCTTTTTCTCCTCATCATCACAGTTCTTCACTCTCAATGTGGGTTTTTTCAAAAGTTTTTGTCAAGTTTAATGGAGCTTAGCCAGCAGATGGAAGTCATGATAAAGCTTCAAACGATTTTCTTGTTGCAGTCTCCCATGAAACATGGCCACGCTTATTTATTTCAAGCATTTAGGGTCTTATCCAGCAAGATTCTCAGAGCTACCTACAAAGTCAAATTCTTGAACTACCCCCCAGCTAGATGAGCCCCTTTGGACCTGATTAACCAAGCATCTTAGAGAATCAGTTCGTACTTCCTCATCTGTTTACCCCAGGCATTGCACTGTGCACATTACCAGTAACCAGGACAACATCAAAGTTGGACCAGAGTCTTCAGTCATAGTCTCTAGGACTATGACAGAAACAGTTTATTGTTATGTGGTTGTGAGAAGCCTTGAGAATTGGTTTTGGACCTGGAGAATCTGTCGCCCTGCTGCTGCTGCTTGTGTTCTGCTTTTAATTTCCTTGCCTTCTCATCGACCAGAGTTCTGCAGACCTCTGTAGTACTCATAATAAAGGGCTTAATGAGGTGACAAGAAGAACATTTAAAGGGTTAAGACCTTTAAAAATAATGGAAAACATCTATGACCCCAAACATGGTACACTTGACATGGTACACTCACTGTTCTTTAGGGATTTATCTCCATCACAAAAGAAATGTAGTGTTGATAGAGAACTTAATTTCAATTATCGTTATTTCAAAGAAGGAGAATTATAGTTACAAGTCATCAGAGTTTGGGGTTGGTTTTTTTTTTCCAGTTTTCATTGAATTCTTTCTCCTTTGAGCACACATCTATTTTTCCAAATCAGCCTTTTCTAGTAAACATCATTCTTTCTTTATCCAGTCACATCTCATCACTGCCTTTCCTTTTTCCTCCTTGTAGATGAATAATTCCCAATTAGATTTCTACCCAAAATTATCCAAGCTTGTTTGTTGTCTTCTTATTCATTTTACTTATGTATCTTAATAGCAGCATCTGCTTTATCTGTATTGATAATGAACGCTTAGGGCTTATCTATTACTCTGCAATCACAGAAAAGCTAGAACAAGAAGACTTATTGTTGGTAAGCATATTCATACTAATGTTAGAAATGTGTTTACTGATGATAATAACAATAACATTAAAAAAAAATCATTGGTTGTAGTGATTTCACTGATTTGGATTTATCTGTGAAAAAGCAAAAACAGCTACAGAAGTAATCTAAACCTGATGTAAACCCTAATAACTGCTGAACACATCAGTTTACCATTAGGTGGTGTTTTAATAGTTTGCATCAAAATGCTTGGACACTTGCACCCTTCTGTAAAATGATATCAAGATGACAGAAGAAAAAAAAGGCAAAATGTTATATTCTAAATAGCAGGCATATCCAGTGCTGCTGTGATTTACCCTGTGGTGAGAGGGATCCTACCATCAGCCGGCATATTACTGCTAGAGCATCTCAGAGGTCCCAGCACAGCCTTTCTGCACTGAATGCAAATCCAAACAACCTCTGTAGGGTGGTGACCCCCAAGATCCCTGCTTAGCCAAAATCCTGTAAAGCCATGCAGGCAAAAGTTGAACGTTTAAAAAAAAAATACAGAAATAAGCTGCAAAAACTACCTTTCTAAATAATTTCAAACATCAGAATAGCTTATTAAGATAAAAGTGATCATGAAAGTATTTTCTATTACATGCTTTAAAACTCATCTTTAGTTTAGATCACTGCTGGCTCCACTCAGTGCTTTGAAAAGTTCCATCTCTTTAAAAACTTTCCTTTGGGGATCAGCTTAGTTCGTTTTTCTGCAGAGAAGCAATGCCCTCCCCCAGGTTGTTTCTTGACTGAAGTAATTGCTATGACTCCTCAGGTCCCAGACAACCAACAGCTAATTAGTTCAAATTAAGTTCTCTCACAGGTGCTTCTGAAGTTGCCATTTGGAAGCAGCAGTTTCTCCTGAAAGGTGGAGAAGGCAACACCAAAGTTCAGAGAGGAGAAGCAGCATGAGATCAGTCCTGTGGTGGCTTTGCTTTTTGCTTGAGCGAGGTATGTTTGGGGAATCCTTTTTTGCTTTTGGAAATGTGATTGCTTGATGTGGGCTTCACCCCGTTTCAAATGTAAAATCAGATAAGGGAGATCTTGGAGTAATCAGTGTGTGTGAGCTCTGCTGAAGAGCAGCTCGGTGAGTACGTGGCACTGGGGTTTTACCACAAAGTAAGCCAGAGAGGATCAGTCCCAGCAGATTGCTGGCCTCCCCTGATTCACCTTGTGGTAACCCTGCAGCCATGTCCTCCTTCAGCAGTCGTGTGTGCTTGGTGGATTGAGTTGGGGTGAACTTTTGAGTTGCCTGAGAACTTCTTGGTGCTGAGCCTGACCCTTCTGTGATGCTGGCTTTCTAATGGTGTAGCTGCTGCATTCTTGAAGTTGTCTCTCATCACTGAATGAAGGGAGAGATCGTGTCTTTTACTTGCTTTAGCCTGCTGCTTTACATGGGAGGCAGGAGGGACTTGCAGAAACATACTTATGGCATTATAAAGAGGAAAAGCATATAAATCTGGTGTATGAGTAAAAGCAGAAGAAAAACTGCAAGTTTTAATGCATTTCCCAACTGTCTTTATTTCTGTTTGTCTGCCTTTAGTGGTGATGTCAGTTGTGCTATCTTTTTAATACTATATGGTGTTCTTTAGTAACAAAAATGCCCAATTCTGGACTTGTAAGGTGTGATGGCTGCTGCTCTCTCTGCTTGCATAATGTTATTGCAGGGCCTGTTGCACTAGATTTCAGTCTGTGGAAATTGTATGAGCTAAAATAATGCTTTTTTATTATAGGTTTTGGAAAATAAGTGTAAGTAAAATGCAAGTGATATTCATCCCTTCCCAAACTAGTGCCAGAATTGCATCACCTGCTCCCCCACACAGGTGGCACTGAGGCTTGCTTGTTTGTACTGACACAGCTGGGAAGAATAACCCTCAGTGGTGGTTGCTGCAGAGTGGGGCTGTTTAACCCCAACTATGCAGGGAATCAGATGAAATGGCCCTGAAGGTGCTCTCTAGACTTCTTGTCTGTGAATCCAGCATGCTCCTTGCTCTCAGTAGCTGCTGTAAGCACAGCACTTGGCTTAGGCTACACGAGCCTTTTGCATGTTAGGTTAGATACGCAGGCGCCTCTGGAGGGAACAGAAAGCTTCATGGCTGTGTATTTTCTGGATTGTAAGTATTTTCTCCTTTTGCCACCTATGAGCTCCACCAAAACATACATGTTAGCAGACATAAATAAAAACTGAATGTATTTCCCAAAGCATTAAGGTAGGGCAAGCTGTGACAGCTGAGCACCGTTAATCTCAAATATGCTCAGACCCAGGCTTACCTTAGAGGAGAAAAAAAAATCTCAGGGTGCTCAAGAATTCTGACATATAGTCATGGATGAGGCCTCACCTTAGCCACTCTGTAGACCTGCATAGTATTTGATTGAGTAGTGCAATTTTTCCATCTTATGATCATGAAAAATAAAAAAATAAAAAATTAAAAACCTGAATAAATTTTGAAGTGTCTGGAAATTCAGGGATTGTACTTCTTTACAACAGATTGTGTATCAGATATTCACCAAAGATTAGCTAAACCTCCCTGAGCATCTTGCCTTTGAAGGGATTCTTCTGTTGGCTGTTTAGCAACTTCGTGCCATAGATGAAGTTAAGATAACTTTGTTCTATAGCATTTGGGACTGTGTCTTACAGCTGCAATAGTAAAGCTGTTATATGTATGCTTGCGGAGTTCTGCCTTCAATTAAATGCTTCAAATAAAGTAATGTTAACCCCTACTTAACAAATGGAAAAACAAACATGGCCATTAAAAAGGACTTGCTCAAGGTCACAGCAGATGAAAAGCAGAAATAGCATTTAGTTTTCGTGATTCTGTCATGATATTATCCAGACTACGCTGCTGCTGCACGTGTGTCTTCTATTGCAATTGAATGTTGGTAGGGTTCTTAGCTTCAACAAGTAACTGATGAAACCTCAGACAGCTGTAATCATCAAAGCATTAAAAGACTTGTTTGCCAAGCAGAAATATGTTTAAACAGCTCGCATTAGATAACTGAGATCAAGCAGGAGCAGCAGATAGGTTGTTAGTAATGATGGAAGATAAACATGAGTCGGCTAAGTAGAGGATATGTTTGTTATGTCACGCAAGTGAAATAGATACCTCACTTATATGGTGGTTTTTAAGGCAGCAAATTGCTACTAGAAATTGTATTCTGTTCTGTCACTCTTGTTTCTGTGTTGTGCTGCCTTCTCATATGGTATAATACTTAGTTATGAGAAGGAGGACATATGGAGAACGCAGCTATGCAATCTAACTCTTGGGGTGAAAATTATACGACGCTTTTCCCTGTTATTTATATGATTCATTTGATATTACAGGCTTCACTTATATGATTATTTCTACTGACTCTTGGTACTTGATTCAGTTGGTTAAAGACAGATTGAGGAGAGTAAGTGTTTCAGTTTGCAGGCTTCTCTTAAAGACGTGGTGTTCCTCCATCTTTGCTGTTGGGTTATGCCAAGCACAGGCTTTGCTCAGGCAAGGATAGGCATGTTTAGAATGGAATTGTGTGCAATGTTTCATCGCATACATATGTCCAAAATCCTGAAGAAAAAAAAAAAGACTTTAATAACTGGGAGAATATTTACTAGTTCCCCTCTTCTATCCATGAATGTAGGGTATGGTTACTAGAATTCAAATGCATAGGCCTCAGTGGCAAAGGAAGCATAACCATTCTTAAAAGGGAGGTGGGGGGAGGAAGGAAGGAAGCTTTAATATATGAATATTGTGGTTTAAGTTACCCTGTATATCACAATTTATTATTAGCCCAAAAGCAAAATATTTTCCCCCTTTTTCTATTTTTTAAAATCCAGGAATATCTCTTTCTAGTGATATAACTCAGCTACTTCTCATCTTGAGTGTGTGTAGATTCTGAGCCTTAAACCTATCACTTTCCTCAGGCTGCAAAATTCCTAACTTTGTATTCAGGCCAGTGCCGTTTTGTGAATAAAGTGCCACACTTTCTGTGGGAGGAAGAAGACAGAAAAAATGTTGTGGCAGGTGGCTTAAAATAAATAAGAATAAAACAAGCTGTGTTTGAAACTGCTTGCAGCTTTGAAATGTATGAAGCAGTCTCTGCAAACCAGGGTTGCTGTGGAGAACACTTGTGGGAAGGTCAGTTGCAATCATCATATGGTTTTGCAATTTTTTTTTTGCCTGGATATTCTTACCAACAACACAGCGTGTGAGCATTTACATCCTCAATGCATACTGATACTCAAACTAGCCTCTACATACCTCACCAAGACCTTAATTGTAAATCCAGAAATAGGGTATGTCTCATAGACCTGCGTGCTGAATATAATGCACTCGAGACTAGAATTTGGCCTTAAAGCTGCAGTCTTACTTAAGTTTTGCTCAGCTTGGATTATAATTTTAGTAATGTGAATAAGAAACTGTGCAGATGCTAACCAGATGTTAATATCAAACTAGTTCAGCATGTTTCCATGTCATAACTACAGCGTTACTATGGTGATAACAGATTCACTAGAGGTTTCATTTAATAAAGCAGGACTGCCTGTTATATCTATACAGTTACCATAGTTTTAGTCACACAGTTGTGCTGCTTTTGACTCATTTGATGGCGTTGCCACTGAGCTTTTGGTTTCCCTTGTAAATCTACTTCTTTAGAGATAAATTTGCTATGTAAGCAGATCTAGTATATTGTTTTGAATGACCTCTATTCTCTTGTGTGACAAAAAAAAAATGAATATGAAACTAAAGCTTAGAGGCTTTATTTTTTTTTTCATTTATGCTGCATTTAACTTCAATGTCAATGATATTTGGGCCCAAGACTTCCCAGGAATGCCTAGAGAGGTGGAATAAGGGAAGGATCTAAACTGCCTTTCAGATGTATTTGCAAGTGGCAGAAAAGGGCACTCAGTGTTATTGCCACCCATCCACGCACCCAGGTAATAGATTTACACGTTGTTATTTTAAGCTAATAGATTACAGATATTTAGGGCCAAGTTCTGCCCAAAGTTTGGAATTTCCAACTCAATAGATTTGTGGTGTTGGTCTGAAAGCACAGCAGGAGAGCTGCCTGTACTTCATTCTTGCATTTTGGTTCCCATCTCCCTTGCCCTGTGTCCTGACTAATCATTTACAATCTACAGGGCAGCGACCATCACTGTGAGAGGAGAAATCAAGTGAGTTTTCACTTGCAGCACTCAGTACAAGACACAGGGAAAGCTGGGTCCCAATTCAGGCAGTTTCTTCACTGATCTCAGTCCAACTGTTCCTTTTCTAAGTAGCAAAAAGCTTTGTAGCTTTTTATGGTGCCAGATCTTCTTAACCCTCTAGTTCCATTTACACTGCTGCTGTTGCACGAAATTGAGGGCAGTGTGTAGGTCAGAACTGGGAACTCATCTGTTTTCTATGAGACCAAGAGGAGCTTTTGGCTTTTTTTTTTTTTTTTTTGCCTAAATAATAGAAGTAATAATAACAATAATTAATAACCATAATGATAGTGATAACCTTCCAGCTGAACACGTGCAATTTGTATTGCCTCAGCATTATTCCCAGGCACAGCCTCATTGATATGCGGAGCGCTGCCATGTCTGTCACTGCTCTGTGCACTTCGGGTCTGGAATCCTTGGGGAGCCTCACAGCTGTCAAATTGACTTCCATCATTTCTCTCTGAGCTGAGAGACAAATTATCCAGCCAGCCAAGGGTTCACAATGCAACCTGCGATCTCTAAGTGATAAAACACCACATCCCGGGTCAGACAAATAGTTTGGCCTGTGAGGAGGACGAGTCGGGCTGGCAGTACTGATGCTGTCTGCTTCTCAGTGTCCCTTTTTTTTTTATTTTTTCGGAGCTTTAATAAATCGAAAACGAGGTTTTCATGGTGAGTCACAGACGCTGCGGGCTGAGCTGTGATGAGGGAGCGCCGCGAGGCTCAGCCCGGCAGGCGCAGCCCCAGCCGAGGTTCGGAGCAGGGGCTG